GCTCACCAACTGGTCCTGCAATTCCCTCACATTGCGAGGGGGTAGCGTGGCAGCACGAATTTGGTTTTCCAAGTAGGACCACAAATGCTTTATTGGATTAAGGTCAGGTGAATTTGGGGCCAAGACATGACTTGAAAGTCACTGGAATGTTCCTCGACGATTTGACCCTTATGACATGGTGCATTATCCTGTTGGTAAACACCATCCCCCGCAGGAAAAACTGCTGCCATGAATGGGTGTACCTGGTCTGCAACTATGTTTAAGTAGCTTACAGACGTCAGGGATTGTTCTATGAGGATTATGGGTCCTAATGTGCCCCATGAAAACATTGTTCCTGAGCCAGAATCCATGAAAACCTGGGAGAGTCCACTGTTATAGATGGAGGGTGGTTATAATGTAATGGCTCTTCGGTGTATATCTATATACACTTATATATATGATTAATAATTTAAAATCAACAATAATTGAAGTGAAAAATAACAAGTTATTTATTGAAAAGAAAAATTAATGGAGAAATAGTACTAATTTGTATCGGAGAAAAGTATAAACTCTTACTGATGCCAGTGCTGCTTGATTAAATTTGTTATTAATTAATAATTTAGTAAAAAATGACTATGTTCAAGAAAGCCAAATAAATGGAGAAATAGTACTAATTTGTATGGGGGAAACGTTTAAACGTTAAATATGTTATGCCCTGTAAGGCAAAATTAATACTGAAATTGTACTAAATCGTTTAGGAAAACATTTCCCAAACGTAATCATTTAGGAAAAACCATATTATTATTAATGCTAGAGATGCTTAATTAATTTTGGTAAGAATTGCTGATTGAAATTAAAAACAAAAGCAATATTAATGGGGAAATAATACTCATCTATTTAAGAGAAGAGTAAAACGTCACCAAACTATTATTGCAGCAAATGATGCAGAATTAATTTCGGTAATGAGTACAAATTGTAATAAAAAAAGTTATATACTCTAAGAACTATAAAGCAAAATTAATAAAGAAACGGTACTAAGAGAAATATTAAAAGTCGCTATATTGTTAATCACGCAAATAATGCTTAATTAATTTCGGTAATAAGCACTACTGGCATTACGGTAATTGGTGCAATTTCAATAGGTACCAGATGTACAAATATAGGCAAAATATATGATATTAGTATATTTACTACCACCAATTAAAACTACATCATTAATGTTAAGCTCTTATATAAATACTGTGAGGAGAGGTTTCATACGTTTCCTCTAGAGGGATAAGTACCGGAGAAAATGAGTTGCGTTCATGTCGCCGAAAATCACTTCACCGACATATCACATCGCAGACGTCACTTTACCGACATGATCACTCCGCCTACATCTCAGATCACCGACAGCTCATTTCTCTGACACGATCTTTTCATCGAAAACGATCAATTAAATTTTGATTTCGTCCAAAATTTTTGATTTTTTCCTATTTATTTAAATATGTTTTTTTTTTGTATATAATATGCATTATTTTGTGGTAGTTATAAATATTCTCTTGTTAAAAAGTTGTTAAAAACAATGATTTTATTTTATATCAATGCTTTTAAAAGTTTAATTTCTTAAAGTTCACGATATAATAAATTATCTTTGTCAGAATTTAAATTTAATTTCATTGTTGCGTCGACGTAAGCTTACGAATTGTGTTTCGTTTTGTCTACTGCTAGACATGTCTTATCACTTAGATATATTATTTATATCTAAAAGAGCCTGAAACATATTTTTTATTTTATTTCAGATGAGGTTAGAAAATATATCGTCAGAAGACATTGTTGATGGAAAACCTCATCTTATTCTTGGTTTGCTTTGGACTATTATTCTCAGATGTGAAATATCAAAAACAGCAAATGTAAGGTTTATTTTATTGCTTCTGTAATAACTCTCATAGTTTATTGACATCGATGTTTTAATTTATAATAGTTTTTAACATAATTACGCGTCATTACAATGATCTAAATGTTCAGCAGCAAATCTTAGACTTTAGAATATTAATTCTTTCGTTATGAGTGCCGTATTAGTCCGACATCCACCAGAGACCCTGTGTGTACTAACGCCGTATTTAGTCGGCATCCACGAGATGCCCTGTGTGTACAAGTGCCGTATATAGCACGTGTCAGCGTGAGACTATTATATAACAGGCCCCAATCTGCTTCAAACTGCCACTGGCTAATATTCCATTGATTTAGATTGGCTAAATACCATTTGAAGAATAATAGAATGCGCTTAATATGCGTTTCTATGTTGAAACAAGTTTATTCCGTGTGTTATATTTAAGAGTGAGGTATTCAAGGTAAAATATTACAAGAAATTGGAAAGCAGTTATTAATTTTTCAAGGCTCACAACATTTATTTGAAAATTTTACTTGGAGCTCTGTATAATTTATTTTATAAAATATTTTTACACCCTTATTAGAATGCTACTAGGAATTTTTTAAATTGCTCTAAATTGCATTTCTGTTTATAATGCTTGCAAAAATCCCCGAATATATTATTATATAACGCTTAAATAAGAAAATCCAAACATTAGCTTATTGACATGCAATGTGCACTCTTCGTGTCGCGGTGCACCATTGAGTGACGTCATTTCAGCGGAGTGGTCTACCGGAACGAAAGAGTGTTACTTTTTAATTTGTTTAATATGTGGTAATGTTTATAAAGATATTTAAGTTTCAATTTATAAACAATTTATAATGTAGCAAGTATTTATGTGTATCGTAACATTTCTTAATTTTTCATGGTTTTAAAGAAACTTTCACATTCTTTTTGATAGTTTTTCTTCAACTGCTTTAATAGAAAATGAAAATACATAAATTTTCTACACAAATTTTAATAACATTTTATTTAATATTAAGACTCTCTATTGCACCAAATATTAACGATGAAAAGAGAAATTTAAAACTCGTAGCACTTTTGTATTTATGCTACCACAGAAAGATAAAGAATTTACTCCAGCTTTCTGTAATCTTAGAAAAATTTTGAAAGTGGTTTTAAAGCTATTTCATTTTTACTCTTTTTTTTTGAAGAAATAACTTATTCGTTAATGGCACTAATATAATTAATTCATAAGGTATTTAGTACTATAACAAAACTAAAAAGAAACTGAAGTTGTTGCTATAGCAATAAATTTGCCCTAGCTTTCATAAAAGTTTGCCCACCACTTCTTTACACGTTAGTCCATTACAGTTGAAATAGTAGGGAATAAGAAAGTAATGTCGTTTTGGTGCATTTGATATTTGTTATCAAGATTTTTTTTAATCAACAATGTATTAACCCTCGTTGGCAACAACCTTTCAATGCCGTATCGAAAATGAATAGAAATGGATCCAAAAGAATGAATCGGTCTTTAAGAGTAACGAATATTTAATGTGCCGAAACGACATTACTTTCCTATCCTCTAATATGCTTTTTGAAGTATTATAGCTAAAGTTATCCTCATGTAATGGTCTAAGAGTTAACCAAAACTTCTTTTTCAACATTTTAATTACTAGCATTAAGTTACTTTTCAAATTTTGTTTCAAACTGAGAAAATCTTTTTTTAAATATTAAACATTTAAAATAGTTTCTGAAAAATCTTGAACATGTACAATCCTAAATAAAAATCCCGAATATGTACAAACCTAAATAAAAATCCTAAACATGTAAAAACTGATTCTTTAACCGTTCATCTGATGAATGTGATATAATTGGTTATATTCAAATTTTCCATTTATCAGTGTTCTAGGTTTGAAAGTTGGCCTAAATTTTTAAATTGTTTTACAGGAGACAGAAACAGACTATACCATTCCTCCACCCCCACCTGACCAAACGTATTATCCAATACAAAAGATCGCAAAAGAATCTCTGTTGTTGTGGTGTCAAACAAAAACAGATGGGTATGAACTATTTGCGTATTATGTTATTTTTTTTAAAATTTAAATTCTTTTTTGAGAAGGGAAAAGTTAAATGCTAGATTTCTACTATTCAACAATGTTTTTGTTGCCTTTATACAAATACTTGATCTTGCCTAATGTAAGGATTTAAAATCTGAACTTAGTTTTGCACCTAAAGCTAATTTTTTTAAAGGACATTTTAAATCTATTTTCTGTCGAAATGTACAGATTTGAAAACATTATCTATAGAGCGGGTGTCACATAAATGTTGCGATGAACTAGTAGGGGAGTTAGGGTTACATTATCAGGTTTCACATGGCATAGGAACTGATGTTCGGAAAAGTCGTCATACGCTACTAGAGGCGTTTTCTCTATTATGATCTGTCCAGAAGCTCATTTCATTTCAGCAACATTTCATTAAAGGTAATCGACATTTCCGGGCATTGGTCCCCATGTAGTTTTAATCCTTTTGATGTGCTCTAACTCCCCAAAAAGTTAATCGCAAAGTTTTGCAGCCCCCCCGTTATATATTTATATATATATTTTAAACTCACACATTTCGACAAAAAATAGTCTAAAAATATCATTTTGAAAAACTGTAACTTCGAGAGTGAAACTGATTGCAGATTTGAAGTAAGCGACAAGAAATTATCCAATATCTTTTTTCTTTTCTTTTAAATTTTTTTTAAGCTAAGAAAAAAAAAATTTTTTTTCAGTGTTATTATTTTTATAAATTCCTCAGAAATTTTCCTGATTATTTCGCAATGAATATTTTATTTTGAACAGTCCGAATTGAACTCTTAAGAAAAAAAAAACTCATCAGAGATAAAATGTAATAAAAAACCTGTTGGTAAAACCATTTTATTTTTAACATGTATTCGTAAAAAGCATAAAAATAAGCTATTGCTCTTCTGAATTGTAAACTATTCCACACTATTTAAATTTTCTCTGGTGAACAAAAAAACAGTCCTATTTATATCTATAACAGTTAAGAAAATCTTCGCAGTCATGGATATTTAATTCTTCTCGGAAACAAGCTATACTGAAATAATTTTCTTACCATTTTTTACAGACTCGACATTAAATTATCCTTGTCCAGCATTCAATTGGTCTTTTCACTATTAAACAATGAACCCAAATTTTTAAATCCGAAAAACGTGGGACACATTAACCCCTTGGGGACGGGTGATTCAGAAAAGCATTCGTACAAAATCAGAATCAAGTTGTAATTAAATAAAAAACGGTAACTTAAATGTAGTCGTTGCTAATTGGACAGACTTACTTTACTTTTACTATAATTATTGTTAGTTTAATCATATATATAATCAATGTTAATTCAAAGTATAACTAAATAGTTTTATTTCGAACAAAGTATTGGTGAATTAAATAAATCAAACAATTATAACTCCGCCCACAAATAAACTGTTAAAGAAATACTTTGATTACCAGTTTTATATTTTTACCCTGATTGATACGGTTTTATGCTGTCACGTATTTGTGACAGTCGGCGCGAAAGGGTTAAATATAAAAGTTCATTTTATTTATTTAATTATTTTTTTAAACACCACGAATAACACAAGGGAACATTTTTTTTTCTGCATTTGAAAAATATCTTACTTGATTTTTGCATTTGAAAAATTACTTGCGTGATTTTTGCATTCGAAAAACTACTTGATTAAAATCTGAAATTAGTTTTATTCGGAAAGGTACAAATTAGTTTCAAAATGATATATATAATAATAACAATTATTTAAGAGGAGAAGTCAAGTGCTGTGCCTATTTATTTAAATAGCCAACCACTAACCATTTACCAAATAACCATTTTCTTACGTTGGTAGGGGGTAGGGCCCATGTCCAAGGGATCATGAGTTCAATCCCCGGTTGCTGAAGACCCCCCGTGTAGTAAATGGTGACTTGTGCACGTTAAATCTGTAGGGTTATCAAGTCCTTCATGTTTCCATAACAAATAATACCTCTGGGGGTACTGAATTGGAGATTGATCATTCTCTGGTTCAACTCAAAATTACGATCCGTGAATGAATGGATGTATAAATGGGTCAGCCTTATAAGCGGGCTGTGACGTATGCGGCTGAAGTTGTATTTATTGGCCATAAATGGCGCTACTGAAAAACAAGAAACGCATCCTCTGCCTTAAATTCTCTTGTTTTCACCAAGCAGGCTTGTTGGAGTCGCGATGGTTCAGGGGATAGAGCGTTCGCCTTAAAATGAGGCGAACCGGGTTCGAATCCCAGTCGATACGAATTCCGCATCCGGCTTGCACCGACCACAGGGCGGATGGGAAATATCCTCAGTGGTAGACAGATCATGGGTTAGAGTCCCCTTGCCGTCAGGATAACAGTGAGAGGTTTTCGTGGTCTTCCTCTCCATGTAACGCAAATGCGAGTTAGCTCCATAAAAAAGGAACTCTACGAAGACAAATTTCTCCCAATAGTCGATCCAGGAGTTCCCTTGTCTTCTGGATTGGTTTCAAAATTACAAGGCTACGGAGTTGAACATTAGTAGTCGTAAACATATAAAATTGAGTCGGCTGTTCAACGACGGTTATGTAAAAAAAATTAAAAAGCAGGCTTGCTACTATTGGCAAGTAGCATTAGAAAAAACAACCATTTTCTTACTGAGCTATGCCCGAAATATAAGTCTAATTGCAGTTTGCTTTTACTGTCTTTCCTAGGGTTAGGCCACGATTTTATAGCAAGATTCAAACATTATATATATTGACATTACAAGTTTTAATGGTTGTTTGTGAGAAAACGGATTTTGGGGTAATGAACTATGAAAAGATTACATTGCAAAAACAAAAACGAAATCTGCAATTATATATATAAATCGGAAATTTTTTTTAGAGCTACTAATAAATTCTTTATCTCTTTATACTTTGTAAATACATAACGTTTTGAAGGGTGCAAAAAACTTTGAGATATCATTTTGGAATATATCTCATTATGATAGCATTATTTGTTGTCTTATCTTCTGTTAAGCTTTGATTCATTACGATAGCTATGCAATCTTGAGTAGGCGTTGATATTTTTAAGTTGCGATGAAATGAAAACTGACCTATTTCTTTCAAATATTAAAATTAAGATAATTAATAATAAACTATGGCGATTTTGTGTTATGTGTTTTCTTACAATAACTTTAAAGTGTGGATGAATTAAAATATGTTTTAATTATTGTGTTGGGTGTTCCGCAATAACTGCCCTTAATATATATTTTTAAATTCCTTGAAAAAAAATGAAAGAAAAATACATGTATGCAATAAAATTTTTGTTTATTCAATGTAACGTTAACTTTGAAAATGGAATGATTCTATTTTCGTTTACTTCCAGATATTAAAGAGTTAGCGTTGGAATAAATTTAAAAATATTGGAGAAGGTTACAAGTTGGGTGTTTGTTGTTAGCACTATGAGTCCAATAACAATTATTAAAATCGTAAAAAGAAATAAAGTGTTTTTTTTCAAGTGGAATTATTCTAATTTTACAAATAATGGCTAAATTATTAACATTTATTTACATTTCATTAATATTAATAATTAATTTAATTTGATAATTAAATTAATATTTAAGGAAAACAATGCTATCAAAATTTAGTGAATCGCAAGGGAAGTAGGCAGGTCTGAGAGCATCAAAATCAGTTTGATTACCTAATCAAATTTAGAGGTATTCAAGGTTTAGCGTTGGAGTGAATATAAAAATATTGATTAATCACTTAGGAATATTGTTGTTAGCACTATGATTTGATTAAACTTTGAAAATCTATATGGATTATTAAACTCGTGAAAAGAAATAAAAAGTTTTTTTAATTCCAATTTGAACTATTCCCCTTTCAAAAATAATGACTAAATTATTACTATTTAATTTATATTTTATTAGTATTAAATTAGCTATTAAGTTCGTAAATTCAATTAATATTTAAGGAAAAACATTGCTATACAAATTTTTAGAAAATCTTATTATAAATTTAAATCAAATATGTAGGTATTTTATTTATGAAGCACTAGAGTTGCACAATGGGCTATTGGCGACTGTGTAGGTTATATCCCTGATGATAATACAAAGACATGTCATCACAATTTGTGAAGACACTTTCTAAATATAGACAGAGATCTGAAGAGGAAGGAACTTTTCTCCAGATCCCTGTACCCATGGTGCTAATTTGCAAAATAATATCGTTCAACTTGATATCGTATTAAGGTGCAAATTTTTGATTAGTGCGTAAAGCTAAAATAGCTCAGGCGATAGAAAGTAGCAACTGAGTTATCTCCATTGTTGTTGTTTCTAATAACGCTTGGATAATCAAAGCTCTCCAGCCATTGACCTTTTGCTAATTAAGTCAGGATGGTGCGCCTTTCATTTGTTAAGAGAGCACCGCAAGGGTGAGATTGCGTGCTAGCTCAGAACCAAACGGATAGATGACAGTGTTACTTATTCGTGAGGTTACTTCCCCTACTTAAACATAAATCTGAAGGGGAAGGAAATTTTCTTCTGATCCTTGCTCAGCGACAGACCAAAGGACTTTCGATCCCACAGATTTTATGCGTACGTATGTTACATGTACTCGATGGGTCTTAGTGGTGCGAGGATCCAACCCCGGACCCTCCGGACTGGAGTTTGAGTTTCTAACCACTGCGCTACCACGGCGCTTAAACCAAATAGGAAGTTAAATTAATGAAATAGCTAGTGATTTTATTCCCTGATGTGTTACCATTTTTTTTCTTCATAAAGGTGCTTATTTTATAAAATGCGAATGCGTTAGGTAATTTGAATTCATAATGCAACTGCAATACTTTAAAATGAAAGTGGTAGCCAACATTAGAAAATATCTAAGTAGTCAAACCGAAAATGAGAATCCACTTTTTTGATAAAGTATCGTTTACATCAATACAAAATTTTGCGTTTTTGCATCAATAGATTGAAATGAGGTAAACAGCAAATGAAATGTCTTGTAATGAAAATCTTAACCCTTTATAGGGACATTTTATTTAGTAATGTTAAATAAAAGTATTTTTGGGATTGAGATTTATTTATCAAAAAAAAAAAAATTCATTTAGCTTCTTGCCTAAAATTAATCCAATTTTTAAGACCATTTTTTGGCGGGAATATGGATGGTTTTTTTCTAAATTTTACCAACCATTGAAATAGTCATAAAATTGAAACTTCCTGTGCTTACAAATATCCAAATTTTTAAATTATGTGTTGATAATGACAAATAAATTCGATGAGAAATGGTCAAATGAGCGAACACATAACGCACAAAAGAAAATATCTTCACATTGTTGACTTTTATTCTTGACCCCATGCTAACTTTTGCTATGACCCTCATTTAGGTAAACAAAGCCCTTCTTGTTTTTATTTATTTTTTGAAGTTAACAACAGATGGCTCTACAAACCATCAGTGGCAAAATAGCTTCCCATCGACATTTAAACTTTCATGAAGTTCATATAAATATAACAGCAAAATGTACTATCCGGCTTGCACCGACCACAGTGCTGACGCGAAATATCCTCAGTGGTAGACAGATCATGGGTTAGAGTCCTCTTACTGTCAGTCTAACCATGGGAGGTTCTCGTGGTCTTCCTCTGCATGTAACGAAAATGCGGGTTAGCTCCATCAAAAAGTCTTCCACGAAGGCAAGTTTCTCCCAATACTTAATCCAGGAGTTCACTTGTCTTCTGGATTGGGTTTAAAATTGCAAGGCTACGGAGTTGAACATTAGTAGTCGTAAACCCATAAAATTGGGCCTGCTGTTCAATGACGATTGTAATAATAATATACTTATAAAGTATAATATATATATTTATAAAGGCTTAAAAGAGGAAGTATACAAACAGAAAATATCACATCAATTGCACAGACAACAAAAAGCTTTGCACGTTGTTTCATAAAATGAAACTTCCGTTTGGTTGAAAATACTGTAGTATGTTGAAGCTTATTTTCTTTTAGGCAACCACTAACAGAATATGTAAACAGAAAATACCACTCTAATTCCATTGACTACAAAACACTTTACACATAGTTTCAAAAGATGAAAATACCGTATATTTTTACAGAAAAATTGCATGATAAAGATGTACTAAATATACATATTTTCTTTTAGGCAACAACTATAACAGAATATGCAATTACAAAATATCACATCAATTCCATTGACTACAAAAAACTATACATTTTGAAAACATTAATTTTGAAAAAAAAAACTGTTGCACGTTAAAGATTTATACATATTTTCTTTTAGGTATCCCAATGTTCGAGTTAGAGATTTTCATCGTAGTTGGCGAGACGGACTTGCTTTCAATGCTCTTATTCATTCACATGTTCCGGCTCTTGTCAACTTTCAAGATCTTAAGAAAAATGAGCATAAGCGTAATTTGGAAAATGCCTTTGATATAGCGCAAAAACATATTGGCGTGCCACGTCTTTTAGATCCTGAAGGTAAAAACATATAGTTACTTATTGTTAGTTGATACGCATACATTTAAAGCATGTAATTTATTTACCTATTCTTAACAACAACAAAAAAAAACGCGTAATTGTGTGCTTATATGATAATTAAAAATTAATATTTTTGGACAAATAAAGTTTAGCAAATAAGATGTTATTGTTGCTAATTTACGTCGCACTAGAGCTGCTCAATGGGCTATTGGCGACGGTCTGGGAAACATCCCGGAGGATGATCCGAAGACATGCCATCACAATTTTGATCCTCAGCGGAGGGGATGGCACCCCCGCTTCGGTAGCCCGACGACCTGTGCGCGAATTTAGCAAATAAGAACAAAGCTTTAAACTATTTCCCCTTATCTTACCGATACAAGTTTTGAATGAGTATAAAAAACACTATTTCTAAACTCTCTTTGACTACAAAGGGCTGGGATAGCCTGGTTTTTGCAGGACGCTGGATTCATGTTCGTGAGAACTGGAGTTCGAATCCAGACGGTCAAAGACTCCCTGTGTATTAAATGGTGGCTGGTGCATGTTAAATATATCAGGTCGCAAAGTCCTCCATGTTCCCATAACAAATTATACCTCTGAGGGTACTGAATTTGAGATTGATCATTTTCTGGTTCTGGTCAAAATTACGATATATGGATGATTTTATTTTATATTTTATGTCCGTCGTTGAACAGCCGACCCAATTTTGGGTTTACGACTACCGATGTTCAACTCCGTAACCTTGTAATTTTGAACTCAATCCAGAAGACAAGGGAACAGCTGGATCAAGTATTGGGAGACATTTTGCCTTCGTGGAGGACTTTTTGATGGAACTAACCCGCATTTGCTTTACATGGAGAGGACGACCACGAGAACCTCCATCGGTTAGCCTAACGGCAAGAGGACTCCAACAAATAGTTAATTTTATAACCATCATTAAACAGCCGACCCAATTTTGGGTTTACGACTACCGATGTTCAACTCCGTAGACTTGTAATTTTTAGCCCAATGCAGAAGACAAGGGAACTCCTGGATCTATGGATGATTGGATGGATGTATGACTGGATCAGCCCTATAAACGGGTGTGGCGTATGTGCGTGGCAGAAGTCAAATTCTTGGCAATAGATGGCGCCCTCGGAAAACAAGAACAATCACACCCCCTCTGCCTTAATGAGTGACGACAACAACTTTAACTACTAACACTCAAGGCATGCTGTTAGTTTTGAGGCATTGAATTTTCCCTAAATTTTATAGCTAAAAGAAAGGTAATTTCCATGAAAATTACACATCAGTTTTTCTTTTCAGCTTTTCATAATTTTTGACAGTCATTTCGTCATAAAAACACGCGTCGTTTGATGTCGCACTGACTTAAATCATTTCAGTACATTTTGAGAATTTTCCAACATTTTTTATATGACTTTGAAACCATATGAATAGTCTGATGGGATGATACAATGGTTAGTGCATTCACTTTTCAAGCATGTTTCCGGAGTTTGAATCCTGATGATACTTGAGAATTCATTCACTCATAATCATTTTACTTTTTTTTTGTATTCCTTAATCAATAGTGTTAACCAACTTGTAACATTGAACCTCTTGATTTTGACGAAATTTTTATCTTCAAACGGGTTTATATGGTTATTTCCTCAATTAGGCTAAATGTTAATCAATAGTGTTAACCAACTTGTAACATTGAACCTCTTGATTTTGACGAAATTTTTATCTTCAAACGGATTTATATGGTTATTTCCTCAATTAGGCTAAATGTTAATCAATAGTGTTAACCAACTTGTAACATTGAACCTCTTGATTTTGACGAAATTTTTATCTTCAAGCAGGTCTACATGGTTATAAGTAAATTGCCTTATGCTCATTTAACCAATTAACAAAAACTGCCTTTATAAATTATTAAAATAAATTCAGAACACTTGTTCTTTTAAACTGATTGGTGCAATTTTTACAGACATTGACACAGCCAATCCAGATGAAAAGTCAATTATAATTTATGTTTCAACTTTTTCAAAAGGCCTTGATAGGTTAAAAGTAGGAATTACTGGAGGAAAACGAATCGCCAATGTAAGTGACAAATGTTATTAATTGCTATTATTATAATTAATATTCTTTTTCTTCTCATTATTATTATTGCTATTGTTATTATTATCAGTATTAATATTATTACTATAGTTATGATGATAATAATAATAATAATTATTATTATTACTTGCATTTAACAAATTACGAAGAACGTTTTTTTCTAATAATCTGACTGATTGTAACTATGTTTACTTTTAACATTTAGTTATCAAACACACAGGTTTATACTGTGAATAAATTTTTATTTTCTATTTCAGTCAACTCCCATCTCCAATTTGAATATTTCCTAAGCAATGAGTAATATTGGATGCCTCACAAATGACTGGCGATTTGAAAACCCAGTTAAAAAAATGAACGGAGATAAAAAAAAAAATTTCCGTTTAATGCATTCTGCTTCGGAAAGTTTAAGAATAAGAAACAAAGTTTTCTACAGATAGTGCTAAAAACTGAAAAACGTATAACCATGCTTTCAAAATAACACTATTTTCTGAACAGCGTGAAAAAGTCTGAAGAAATAAAAAAGCATGTATAATATTTTAAATTGAACATTCAAAGGAAAACCTTTTTTTTTAGTCAGCAGTACCCCCTATCAGATAATTTTATAAATAATTTTGAAACTTGGTGATCACATTCTGTTATTTTTTAAATAATAATAATAAAAATATGGTACAAATTAAGTAAATTATTCATATATTAACACGTTCACGCCGGGAAAAGTGAAAGTACTGGTACGGGAAAAGAGAAAATACAGGTAGAAGAACTATCTCAATGTTACACAATATTCGGGAGGAGTTAATCTATTCTCAACAATAACAATTCGCTGTAAGGAAATTTATCACGGCGAAGAAGCAATTCAATATAGAAATTGCATCCATTAAAAACAATTGGTAGTTATGGATTTTTATTATTCCTGGAAAAAAACTAAAAAATGAAATTTATTGTTACCAGTTTTTATTCCGGTGCGCTGCCAAGATGAGAAAATCTAGCGTGACCCACCGGTGGGTCACCCCGGCTTGAACGTGTTAAGATAATGTATTGAAGGAATTGTATAATGATTGATTTATACTATGATGGTTTCGAAATTATGTAAACATGTAAACATCATAATAAAATTATTATACTACATTGGAATGGAACGAAATAATATTTTGTATTTGTACATGTATTTGGATATAGTCATTGAGTAAAAAAAAAAAAAGGCAATTATGGATTTCAAAGTACACAACTTAGGGCCGGAAATAGGATCATGAGTAATTAAATTAAGGGGCACGTGATCATTAAGGAAAAGTGGTAGTACAATGATATCGAGGGATAACAATAAAACAATAGGTTCAAGAGGTCACAAAATGTGAGGTTTGAACAAATTGGTATCACCAAATTTGAAATAAGATGAAAACAAAAATTAATCAAAATCATAAATAAAAAGATAAAAATACAATGGCATGCTATATCCAAATATAAATATATCATTTAGCACAATTTAGAGACATATCCAAAGAGAAATAAAACAAATACTCAAAACAATAACAAAAAATACTCACTGGAAAAATGAAAATACAACAACGATCACCAAATGAAGAGAAATAAATTCACGCATTCTTTTAATTCAGTATGACATTTATTTAAGGACAAACTCTCATTTTTACCAGCAAAACATATTAAGGCTAGAATTAAAAATGGGGGACAAGAGAATTTAAAATAAGGTATAAGTGAAAGATAAATTTAAATTGTGATGATAAGATAAATATAGAAGGAACGCTTATATTTGAAAGGGTCTTTTATATTAACAGAAATCAAAGGCATGAAAAGTAGAAATTCAGTTTACAGAAATTCATTACGGTTTGTAGATTTCCTTAAAATTAAAGACAACGAAAAAGGATATAAGATAAAAGGAAATAAATTCTCTCAATACGGACCGAAGTCCGCAATTCGGAGAAAAACAGAGGACATACCGTTTAGAGTAAAAAGCAAGAAGATCAGAGAGAAAGTGTTAAATCTTTTTTTTTAAAAATCGTTAACTGGTATAGACCCAGAAACGCGATAGCTAATTAAATTTAAAGAGTGGAAAGTTTGAAAATTCGACGAATCAGATTAAGTACTGTTTGTCTACGATAGGTACTCTGTCCGCCACAAAGTCTGCGGCAGTCTGGTGCTATGGAAACAAGAAGAGAGCATTTTAGGGAGGGTGGCTTCGATGAAGAGGTCTCCTTTTCTTTCGCCTTCGATGATAGCTTGTATGGGGAGTATACCAGATTGGCTGACTCAGCCACCAGTAGGAGACTTATTTAATCTGATTCAAGAACTTTTTTAAGATTCGCATGAATATTTCTTTCTTACTTAAAATAATTCTCTCGATTCAATCAGTTGTTATTTTTTAAATACAAAGGAAAAAAAGTGAACAAATTCTGACATTAAGGGTAGTACAGGTTTTTTTAATATTACTTTTTAATTTTACGATATTTATTATGAATGTTCATTGATTGTTAGATGGTTTAATTTCTAAACTTGCACATTTTTTAAAGCAGTTAATTTCTTTTATTACTTGAATTTTCTGGAAAAAGTGAAGAGCTTAAACTTAATAACTCTGATTTTAAAAGGAGATAAAACTTTTGCTGAAAATAAAAATAGTTCACGTTATCTGTGCCGGAGAAATATTAAATATCTTTGTTTTGATTATTAATTTTTAAATATTTTATTTATTTATTTATTTTTTTTTTTTTTTTTTGAAACTGAAAGCAAGTGACCGCAACTAGGATGAAATCTAAAACTATCAACGATGATTTTTATCAGCACCCATCAAACCATCTGAAATTATCTGAAGTTTTTTTTGCTTAAATTACGTTTTCTTATTCATATTTTATTGTAACCTGTACAGTTTTTTTTCACTATTTATTAAAAACAGTTTTTATTAGCAAATTTATTTTTTTCTTAATAACCAATTTACTATGTATGATAAATTTATAGATGAGTTATTTATTAATAAAACATTGAGCTGCTTTAAACAATTTTATACAATTTCCATACATATTCCATACATACATATAAATTTTTTTAATTTTTTTTCTAAAACAGAAGCTTTTGAAAAAGAGAAAAGATTAAAAAAAAGGAATCACACGCTCTAAACGATGTTTCAGGCGCGAATGCTCATTTCTCTTAACTCTAGGGCTAATACAATAGATCGAAGAAAGAAGTCTCCTTTTCTCCCACCGAAACCAGTCTTAAAGAGGGACCCCGCACCCCTACTTGAAATAATCATACCTCGTTACCATAGTCCCCGCCACCCCTCCAGACGAATGGCGGACAGAGTACCTATCGTAGACAAACAGTAAGCTCCCCCCCTTTTTTTTTAAAAAAAAATAAGGAAAAAAAAGGCGGGTATAGACGGGTATCTCTCTCTACAGGAAGTGAAATGACAGAGTTGACCCGTGAGGAAGAGCTACCAGAAAGTTAATATTGTTTAGGAAAAGAAAATGAAATTTTGCCAGACAAAATATTTAAAAAAAATTATATGTTTATCCATTTGATGTCGTATTAAGTTTATACATGTGTGTCACGCTAGTAGGAATTAATTTTTCGTGAAATGAACAGGGATACATAATATGCAAGATTATGAAAGAAAAAGAAAATTTATTAATTCTTTTTTAAACTTTAGATGTATATAACACATTAATAATACATAAATTTAAACTGTTATATAAAAAAAAAGGAAATAAAGGTTTAAAAAAATTAAAAGATAAGATTTAACCAAAAGAGTAAATTGTTACATTGCGCAAATTGTAAATGCGACATATAACTAGTTTCCTAAGCACAACGCAGCAAATCAAACATTTTGATTTTCTCCTTTTTTTTAAATTAATCATTTTGGGTACATCTTTGAGTTTTAAGGAATAGTTTTAATCATTTTGTTTTTTTGCATACGAAGTCACTAATTTCACCTTTTTATAAACAGGTAATGCAGAAAATGATGGAAATCGACAAAATGAAACAAGATTATGATAATCAAGCATCAGAGCTTCTTGAATGGATTCATTCTAAAGTATATGAATTCAAATACATGCCACCATTGGATTCACTAGAATCCATTCAACAGGAAATAATCAGTTTTAAAGAATATCGAACAAAAGAAAAACCATTGAAGTAAATTTAAAGCATTTTATCTTAAAATATTTTATTATAATGAGCAGTGTGTTCCGTTAATGCCACCCTAAATATCTATTTTAAAAAATTCGTATCAAAAATAGAAACACTTAGAGGTAACATATTAATTTGAGTGGGGAAAAATAGTTATCAAAATCTGACGAATCAATTGAGGAAGTTTGAGGAGCTGGTTTAAAATCATTAAACCACATTTCACGTTCTTTCGGCTTTTCTCCGGAAAGTAAAATGTTTTTAATTTTGATTTTTGCGAAAATTATTCGTTCTATTTTCAGAACGGTTCTTTTTTATCCTCCCCGGAAAGAAAATCATTTGCAGCCGCTATTTTGCATATTTTTTAATTTTTTTTTCGCTGCAGATTTTAAGAAATATAAGTATAAGATATGGGACACTCAGTATAGGAAAAAAATTAACAACAATGAATTCAATAAATATGGAGAACAACGAATTCAAGAATCAAGAGGAATTCAAATGAAAACCATCTAAGTTTACAAATATGTCATGTTTTATACCTAGCAAAGATATGATCTATTATTTCAGCGAGCCGTTTTGAATCAGGGAATCAAGCGTTCACCTACCAATGAGGTGAACCGGGATTGAATCCTAGAAATGGCTGGTTGATTCGAATTCCGCACCCGACTCGCACCGACCACAGTGCAGACGAAAAATATCCACAGAGGTAGACGGATCATGGGTTAGAGTCACCTTGTCATCAGGTTAACATTGGGAGGTTTCGGGGTTTTCCATTCCATGCAGCGCAAATGCGGTTTAGTTACATCAAAAAGTTCTCCACGACGGCAAATTTCACCCAATACTTGATCTAGGAGTTCCCTTGTCTTCGGGATTAGGTTCAAAATTATAAGGCTCGGCGTTGAACACCAGTAGTCGTAAACCCAAAATCGGGTCGGCTGCTCAACGACGGTAATAAAATAAAATAAAATTACTTCAGCGTCAGCGATCGGCATCAAACGTTTGCCCGTCAGTTTTTGTCATTTTGTCAGATTTTTTTTACTTATTTCATGCCTTTTGCAGTTTTAGAAGTTGTTTCTGGTTATCTGATGTTGATTGTTAAGATAATTAAACACTATTTTTACCTTTAGAGAAATGAAATATCCGTGGAATTCTTCAGGAACAGTCGTGTAATTTTTTAAGAAATCAAAACAATTTTTTTCAAATTATTCTTTGCACCAAATTATTTTTTTACTATCCAGAGCAAGTGCAATGTATATTACAAAAGGTTTTTTTTTTTGTATATCACAAATGTATATCACAATGAATATCTCAAAAACGTCTAAATGATAAAATAATCCTCTAACATTTTCTTCATATTAAATGCAGATATTTAAGCAGTATTTCCTCGCTGGACAACTTTAGAAACAGAATAGCAAAATTATCTCGAAAATATCTTCAGACTAAAATAATATATATATATATATATATATATATATATATATATACAGCACGTGCTTTTTCAATTAATACTTATTTTTAGAATACAAAAAGTGCAGATGGGATAATCCAATATTTCTTAAATATAGTACGTAGGTGACCCTCGGGTCATAGGTTGCTGACTACTAGTTTAGCTCAATAATTGTCACCCAATGTTTGTATTGTATCATTGTTTCTAAGATACTTAAGGAAGGCACATTTAAGTTCTAAATATTTATAAAAATGATGATACCAAATACATTTTAGAAATCAGTCCAAAAATGAGATTGAAGCTCTTCTGTTTGCCATTCAAATGAAGAGATTGGGAAAAAATGTTTGGATACCACCTGATGATTCAAGTCCTGCAGAGATAGAAAAAGCATGGAGTGATTTAGAACATGCAGAATATCAGCATGAAATAGATGTAAGAGAACAACTTAAAGAACAGGAGAAATTGGAAAATTTAGCATATAAATTTGAAAAGAAGGTAATATAGAAGTGTTTCATTTATTGAATTTTTTTTTGTTCATTTTTAAAATTTTTTTAAAATGTTTATTTCATATTTTATTTTATAACCGTCGTTGAGCAACAGACCCAATTTTTTTTGGGGGTTTATGATAACTAATGCTCCACTCCGTAGCCTTGACATTTTGAACCCAATCCAGAGGACGAGGGAACTCCTGGTCAAGTATTGGGAGAAATTTGTCTTCGTGGATGTCTTTTTGATGGAACTAACCCGCATTTGTGTAATACGGAGAGAAAGATTACGAGAACCTCCCACGGTTAGTCTGACGGCAAGGGGACTCAAACCTATGATTCGTATACCACTGAGGATACTTCACGTCAGAAATGCGGTCGATGCCAACCGAATGTGGAATTCGTATCGACCAGCAATTGCAGAGATTCGAACATACGATGCACCTCAATGGAAGGCAAACGCTCTCTCCCCTGAGAAATCATGGCTCTTTTAACATGTTGAGCGCCGCGTCAGCCATCGGTGGCTGAAACTGGATCTTCCATTTAGGCCGCGTCAGCCACCGGTGGCTGACACTGAAATTACATTTAGGCTGCGTCAACCTTCGGTGGCTGACACTGATCTTTCACATGGACCGCGAAAAACAGTTGGCTGACACTGATCTTTCACATGGGCCGCGAAAAACAGCTGGCTGACACTGATCTTTCACATGGGCAGCGAAAAACAGCTGGTTGACACTGATCTTTCAAATGGGCCGCGAAAAACAGCTGGCTAACAGCGTATAACATGATATGGAACTACAAAATTTACACTCTTTTATGGAATTGCAGAAAATTTTTTCAAAATTTACTTAATTATTGTGATTCTTGGTTTAATAAATTCTATTTACTAGGTTTTTATCCACCACTGTTTCTAAAAAATTCGTAGGCTTATATAATTCACCCCTTTTTTCAGATATGTCATGCTAAACATTTTAAAAACTAGCAAAATATGTCTAATAGTTGCAAATTTAGTTTCTAGTTATTTACCGTTGTGGCCTGACGGGCAAGACATGTCAAATTAGCATGGCGTTCAACGTGTTAATAGTTTAATAACAAAATCTATGAAACTAAAATACTAAAAAAAAAAGTTTTTTTAGTGCATCACATACTCTGAAAATCTGACTGCACTACAAATTAAATAACTTATTATTAAGTTATCTATTGATATTTTTGAAACATCAAACTTTTGAGCAAAATTTCACGTTCTTGGAATCTCAAATGAAAATCGTGAATGATATGGTTTTTAATTAGAATAATTCAAAACTAAAGTTATGTCAACTAGATAGATTTTACTTTGAAGCTGATGATGTGTTCTGCGATATTTTGAGGTATTTATAATTATGATTAAATTCATTTACATCGCACAAAATCAAAATTAATATACCTAATCAGAGCTTTGATTTTACCCATGGGTTTTAAACTAATTTAAATTTGATCCATTGATTTTAAACTGTAATTTATTTAACATTTGTGTTCCTAGTGATGTACCTTAACACTTGTGTGCTGAGTAGCATTTATTTGAAACATGTGTTAAAAGAATGCCATGAATGTCATTCAGCTTACCAAACAACCATGAATGCCATTCAGCACGTATATGTGATCAATTGCATGAGTTTTGATGGGCATTCATTTAACACTTCTATTTAGAAGTACTGGTATTTTCAACGATCGTTTGTTTAACATTGGAATTTTGAATGATTGTTTCTTAAACATGGAATTATATTTTTAATCAGCCTTGTTTAGCAATGGTATTTTCAATAACAATATATATGAGTCAGAGTTATGCTTTAACTGTGGGTTTAATTTTTCTTTCAGAGAGCTGTGAGAGAAAGTTTTTTGAATGATATGCGAAATATACTGATGGATCCAAACTACGGTTCCAACATAAAGCAAGCTGATGCAACATTCAAAAAGCATGAAGCAATCCGCACGGGCATTGTTGCAAGGGTAAATGAAAGTTATATAAATAATAGACTAACACAAAACTATATTATATTTTCTTACTTATTTTTTTAGCATCTCTTTAACTTTTTTTTATAATTTGTGAACTTTTTGTGTCTTATTTCAGGAAATTATGATCAAAGATTTTGTTGCCATTGCTGATACCTTAATTCAAGGAAATTACAGAGAAAAGGAGAAAGTCATTGAAAAGTAAATACTTAATTTTGTTTACTAGTGATTCGTGTTATTTTGTAAGGAACAAATTGATTTTAAAATAGTAGAGATTTTTTTCTGATTTTCCATTGCATAAACTAAATTAATTAACTACATTGTAGAAACGGTAAAACGGTTCTGAATTCGTTGTTGAAAACCTTGAAAAACACTGTAAGTGAATACTTTATTTCAAGTAAACACCGGATCAAGTGTCTACATACACTGTAAAGGGTGCATTAACATCAATAATGGCAAACATCAATAATGGCAAATGTTTCACCTAGCCAACAATCATTTATTTATTTGTTTTCGACTTCGAAAATGCCAATTTTGGCTACTTTTGGAAAATTTCCGATGACAAAAATAAATTATTTAGTATCGAACTCAAGCAGGTCTAAGTTTGATGGCGTAGCACACGTTGCTAAATATTTCGCAGAGACAGAAGTTCCCTGTTACAAAAGTCATGTATATTTTCAGCTGAGTAATAACGATAATTATGTTCTCATAAAAAGTCATTCATAGATCTGTTAATTATATTAAATAATTTTATTGACTCAGAGGATAGACCGTTAATCTCCCAATGAGGTGAACCGGGTTCGCATCCCAGCTATCGAACCCCAGCTCGAATTCCGCACCCAGATGACCCCGACCACAGTGCTGACGTAAAACATCCTGAGTGTTAGATGGATCATGGGTTAGAGTCCTCTTGCCGTCTGCCTGACTGTGGGAGATAATCATGGTTTTCCACTTTATGTAACGCTAATGTGGGTTAGTTTCATCAAAAATACCTCCAGGAAAGCAAAACTTGATCAAGAAGCTCCCTTGTCTTCTAGATTGGATTCAAAATTACTAAGTTACGGAGTTGAACATTAGTAGTTGTAAGCCTAAAATTGGGTCAGCTGTTCAACGATTGTTGTAAAATAAAATAAAATAATTTATTGCAAAAATATTTCACTAAACAAAAATATTTTAAATATAACTTTTCTCTTTAAAAGTGCGTTAAAAGAATAAACTATTAAAAGACTTTATTCGCATAATTGAAGGAATTACTTTAGGGGTTTTATATAATTTAATTAGCAAAAGATGTTAATAAAAAATAGTTTGTGATCAATGAAAATAATTTGTCTATTGATTTCTGATTATCATAAAATGAAAATAATGTTTCTGTAAAAGTATATTGTGGTTCGATAACTAAATTACTTCCTATTTTTTATTTTAACAACAAAGTATTTTAAAGTTTTTTTTAAAAAGATTTTGTTAAAAGTAATTTTAACAGAGTTAAAAAATCTAATATTTATTATGTTTAATTTCATGGAATTGAAGTAAAATTTAGAATTTTTTTTTGAAGAAAAAACGTTTAAAAAATCTTTTACGAAAAGGTTAACCTCAGATTATTAAAAGAATCTGATTTTAGTGTCGCATAACAATAATGGTATTTATAATACAATTGTTGTAGTTTATTGAGCAACAATTTGCTTTCCTAATATTTTGTTACTGGTACTTAAAATATAGTTGTTATTTAATGTGAGAGATAATATTTATATTGTTCATGTGAAAAAAACAATTCGTGTTGAGATAGCAAAATAGTAAAAAAGCTAATCAAAAAGTTATTTTCCACAGTAAAAACATTCAGTGAACTCTCACTTATGCACCGGTGTAGGGGCCAAGAGGAAAAAGCGCATAAGTGAAAGAGGCGCATAAGTGAAAAACTTCAAAATTCTAAAACGCAAAGTAAATTGTAGTGACAATATGAATAAATATGTTTCTAAAGACTAAATGTTAATATTTATACTGTTTTGGTATTTACTATAACTATACAAACAAAAAAAATTAACATACCATAAGACAATTTATTTTCGTACAAAATAATCTTAATACATGTTTGTATTTATTTTTGCCGACGTTATTCAAAAACAGTTTTTTCCAGTTCACATAAATGGGATAAAGGGGAGTTTCAGAAGCAAAATTAAATTGCAAATAATCACGAATAGTGTCTAAGACTTTCAATACTGCTGTGTGATTTGGAGGAACTTTATCATCCTCATCAGCATCATCCACCACGTTCTCATCGTCCACAAGTTTTAGTTAGTTATAAATAAACAGCTCTTCACAAAAAATTTGAGTTTTATGGGAGGGGGTGAAACATAACATGATAAATTTCTAAGAAAAGTACTTGACGTCATAATATGCTGTAGAATAAGTTGTTCAAGTACTTCTGTCAATGATCACCTCCTTTTATTTACTCATGATGTCCATCTGATAGCAAGTAAGTGATCGCGGTCTCTTTCCTCTTTCGTATTCCAGGTGTCTTTTTTTTCAAGAAAACAGCATGAGAGTAAAACTAACCTCTGGACAAGAGGAATGGTCATTTTCTAAGAGATGAATGCGCTTTCATTGTTGTTGGTGTAACAAATAAGACACCCTATTCGAAATTCTAGAAAGAATGTCTTTCCAGAAACAGCAAAAATGAAAAGGTCACAGGGGGAAGCAAATTCAATAGGATCTAACAACATATATTTCTTTTTATCTGTAACAAGGATTGCTTATTTGCTTCATTTTGAATTTAAAACATTTTTTTAAAAAAAGAAAAAATATTTAAAGGCTTGAAAAATTAACATGTTAGCCTAAAATTTCGGCGCATAATTGAAAAATTTACTTTTAGAGCGACGCATAAACGAAGGATGTTTATCATTATTTTCCTATCTAATGTACTGGGACCTATAAAAATCGTCGTATCACTGAAAAAGGTGCATAAAAGAGGTGGTGCATAAGTGAGAGGTCACTGTAGTTTTTTTTTTTTTTTTTTTTTTTTTTTTTTTTTTTTGAATTTGCCATCTTAACAATCTACTGTTTAAACGTGAAAATGCCTGATTTGCCAATCTGTCAAATTTTAATGAGACGTTTTGAATTATAGATAGCAGAAATATTCCGTTTATACATACAAGTCAAAAAATAGGGGGAAAGATGAATGATACATATCATAAAAATGCAAACTAATATTAGTGCAGTTTCTTTTTGTGCATGGTAACTAAACCTGTTTTAAAATATCTTCACAGGAAAAATGAAATAGAAACACAATGGAACTATGTCATTGAGCTGCTTAAAAAATTTGATGAAAAATTCGCCAATTTGCGAAAAGTTATGAGCATTTTGGAGGAAATGGATTCCTTATCTGACGAAATGAACCAGATGCAGGTTGTTATAAAATTGTTATTTATTTATTCATTTATTTATTGTGTAAATTATGAAATTAAGGGTGTTCTATCCTTATGATATGAAAAAATAAACACTGCTTTTTTATTTTCTATGAGAAATATGATAAAATGATCATTCAAATGCGTTGCACCTTCTTCAATTTAAATTATATGTAGCACGAAAGCCTACTGGTTTCACGCTGTTACATAATACATAGTTTAAAAAAAATTTTTTTTTTTAAATGGACGCCTTTCGAAATCGTTTTCCAATTCTTATATTAAAACTTTTTTTGTCTAACATAATAGACAATGTTTGAAACAAATTTTTTTCTCAGTAATAGATTTGAAAGCTCCTTTTAACACTCATAACAAGCAAGGGTAGATAAAGCATACTTTCTATAGTTTTTAAATACAATAAATTATTTTAAATTTAAGCATATAAAATGCATTTGAACATTATTTTTTCATATTTTCGTGTAAAGACTTTAAATTCAACCATTGAGAGTTTTCTTACTTAAATCACTTACAACAAGAAAATGATCTGCCAGGATAGCTTGTTTGGCAATGCTCTGGACTCACTTTTGTGAGAACGGAAGTTCGTATCCAACAGGCTGAAGATTCTCCGTGTGGTAAATGGTGACTGGTGCACGTTAAATCTGTCGGGTCACAAAGTCCTATATGTTTCCATAACAAATCAATACCTCAAAGGGTACAATATTGGAGGCTGATCGTTCCCTGATTCTGGTCAAAATTACTATCTGTTGATGAGTGAATGGATGTATGAATGGGTCTGAACTAGAAACGGGTGTGACCTATGACTGTAAAATAAGTGGAATTCCTGGCCCTAGAGGGAGCCACTTGAAAATCAGAACGATCGCATCCCCTCTGCCTTAATGGCAGACGACAACAACAACAAAATAAATGATCACACGGGTGTCAGAAAAACTCTTAATAGCTTTAAAATTAATAATAATATTCATTATTATTTTCTATAGGTCGTTAATTTTAGCTCGTAATTTTTGATAGAGCTGTATTAAAAAAAAGCACTGATTTTGGTAAAATCAGGACCATTTACTGCCTTAAAAACAAATTGTGATAAAAATTAAAAAAATATATATACTCCGTTCAATCTCTACGTGATCGTATCTGGAAAAAGTGTGCAAAGTTTTAATAATATTCATTAATTAGTTTTTGAAGAATCATGTTAACCGATTTAAAAAATACATTTCTGAGAAAATTTCAGTCTTCAGTTTTTTCCAACTGTCAAACGAGTCTAATGAGAAAAGTTTCCAAACCCCTTTAAATCTACTGGTTTACTATGTTTCTTTTAAAAAATTGTTCTTTGCATGCTAATAAAAATGTTATTTTAAAACTAATGCAATTTAATTAAGTCAGCAATTTGTTACAATACATGTGTACAAAATAAAGCAAGTACTGTAAAGTACAATTACGACTTTCCTGAGTCGGAATTTTTTATTTTCTCATAATTAATGTCTATTGATTTTTTATGTTATTTTGTACTCAATTTTGAAATTTTCAATATCGATGTATTTTTTTCGAAATTACATTATTTTTAAAATTGGATGTCCAAACAAGTTTTCATAAACTTCCGTAATGATAAAAATTCATGAACTTTGAACTAAAGTTATGATAAAACTTATGAGTCATTTATGTTTTCAGGAAAATATGTGAAGTTTAAAACAGTTTCCCAGTGAAATAAAGATGAATCAAAAATTATTATAGATTTTAAATTTTTATAGATTTTAAAATATAGATCGATTTCCAAAAATTATGCAATTTTGTGAAATATTCAAGATGTGTTTTTAAGCACACCTTCAAACATGCATCATTATTTATAATTTTATATATTATTATATATTAATATTACGTTTGAAATTTTATTCAAATGAGTCTTTAAATAAATTAAAATGAAATAAATTAAATGAAAATGAATAAATTAAAAATGAACGACTGATGAGATGAACATGAAATTACTATGATCTGTCTATTCTTAGTGGAAAAACTGACAACACATTTTTTCGATATTTTAAAAATGAATTATAACAACCGTAATGACAACTGTAACTTCTCTTATTTATTAAAGGTCGACATAGAATCTGAAAGTGAACCTTTAGACCTTGAAGCCAGTTCTCAAAATCATGCAGTAAGAGAAGTACAGATAACATCATGGGGTGAATATGTTCGACGATTAGATGTTAAAGTGCTAAGTCAGGAGAAAACGAAGGATGTAACTGTATTGAAAAACCAATTGGCTAAATTAAAAGAATATCATCAAAGGTATGTATGTTCAGAGAACTGTTTTCCCTTTTTAAAAGAGATCACAAATGATTAAAAATAGTAAGCAATAGAGTTATGAATAATAACAGTGTCATGGACACAAAATTTAAAAATGTTTTACATTTTCTTATAGCTTAAAAAAAATTCTAATTATTAAACAATAGAGCCATGAACACTTTTCAATATATATATATATATATATATAATAAATAAATACAAGAAAAACCCCTTTTTTTCATATGTCTTTANACATTAGACACCAAAATTAAGTGTTTTATTATTAATTCCTTAAAAAAAATGTAAGTTTGTAAAAAAAAAAAATCTTTTCAAGAGAAAGTTAAATTAAATTTAATAATTATCAGTATATATATATATATAAGCTCATCATGCGAGCCACGATGGCTCAGCGGTTTAAGCACTGAACTATCATTGTGAAGAACTGGGGTTCAATCCTCAGTGATCGCTTGATGCTCAACCTGCTCAAATCGATAGGTACTAGCTTGTCTGGGAAGTAAAGGCGGCCTGTTCGCAGTTTTGACAGCATTGCCCCATGCTGTTGGTCGCAAAATTGTGGAGCCTTAGCCTCAATCTGGCCCACAATGGGCTGTTGCAGGAGTGCTTTACTATACTTTATCATGCAATAATAGGAAATACGATAGCAGAATTAGCATGGCATGGCGACAGGCGATACAAACTAATTTTAGCCTTGAAGGCAAAAACAAACCGTAACTTACAAATATTGAAGACGAAATCAAATTAAGTTTTACAAACTGTCTTCATATCTATTTAATATCCATCTGCTTTTATCGTGCTATTCATCATCGTCTTTTGATTGATTTTTAAAATTTTTCCCCTGACTCCTGTACGCAGAGGGACTATTCAATTCATTTAAAAATATTTATAGAACATTTTTATCGGTAGACTATTTTATGTATAAAACATGCTTACTCGTGTTACATATTTATATAGAGTATTAGTGGAAAGACGTTTAGAATAAGTGAAAATTTGTGTTTCAATAGATATTTTACTTTTTTAGAATTTTTAAACACCTTATTTTGAACGAAAATTTGTTTTTAGCCTTGTGCAGGTTTCTAACGCCAAACGAGTTCAGTTGGATGATCTTATCAAGCGAAAAGAACAGCTCGATCAAATTGAAGAAATTTATTCGTGGATTCATGAAAAGCATCAATACTGTAGCTCAGATGTTAATTGCAAAGATCTAGCAAGTGCGTTACTCCTTCAAAAGAAACACAAAGTAAGTTTCAATAATAAAATGAAGCCAATTTGAGATATGTTCTTGATATATTGTTTAATAATATAGAGCGAATCCTTTTCTCCTAAATACTATAATGGAGTAGCTGCCATCTTGTTGTTCGAAAAAATTAAAAAAAATCATAGAGGAACTTTGAATAAAAGGGGGATAAAAATTCTAAAATTTAGCTATTTTGTCAACACTTGGAAACATAACTGCGTAACTAATAAATTCTATATGCATGTCTTTAAATAATTGATTTGCCGTGATGTTTATGGCATTTTTATTGAATCTTTAAAAAATTTATTTATTAAAACAAAAGCACTATTTAGAAAATCTTTCCTAAGAAATCTTGCAATCTTGCAGCTGTGATCCTTGCAGATCCTAAAGGAATAATAGGTAATTTTGCTTGTCCTAAAAAATTTCAATTTTCCTGAAAATTTAAGTAAATTAGGTGAAGAAGAATACTTCATTTAAGAAGTAAATTTTTTTAAACTAATTCAAAGACAAATATCTAAAGAAATTTTTCCAACTAGATCTTTCTAGAAAATTAACTAGATAAGTATCTGATTTTCAATCAACTTGTTAAATTATTTTAACCGTCTGTATATTGCTAAGTTGCCAATTTAAGAAATTTTTGATGGTTTAAATTTGCTTGCCTCATTTTAATGTGATGCCAATCTAAATTATAACGGGCAAATTGGCAATTCCTAAATTGGTGTAATTGAACAAAAAAAAGCTGTCAGATTGACCTCCTTTTTAGGTTACACTACATTATAGTTCAAGGTACTAATATTAAAGAAGTTATTTAAATTAGAGTTCAAGATACCAATATTATGGTTCAACATAATATTAAAATTGTGAAGTTTTCTGACAGTGCGTTTATAATTTTTTGATTACTTAAATAAATTATTATTGAAAGAGTAAAATGTACAGAGAGCGCAAAAACATGAATAAACAGACCACCCAAAATAACTTTTGATCTAATAATCGGATCTTCACGTTCTAGGACTCAATCTTAGTGGTTCAAGGGGATGACTTCAAATATGGTAATTAATTAGTGTAGACGATATTTTAAGTTACGACATCAGACACAAAATCGTACTTTTTCTGAGCAAACATACCTTTTTTTTCTCCAAAGAATTGGATTTCTGACCCGCTACGAATAATGCGTAGCCGCAATCTTGGAAATATGGTCCCAATAGTTTAGTCAGGAAAGCGATCCAAAGTTTGAACTCTTTAACGTTAATTTTACTTTTTGCGTATTTCGCTATATCTCGAGAACTTCTTAACCGAATTGAAAAAGTCTCGAACACAATTATAAAATTCGTTTATCTAAGAATAATTCCATGCAGAATATAACTTTCAGTAAATATTTATTATTTTTTTGAATAATATTTAGTTATTGTCGGAAAAATTTTATTTGTAAGATATGCACACATGCATCCTTTTAGAGAAGATAATTTTAAATGGCAAAATACAAAATTTAAGCGATCAGTTTAATAGTTCCTGAGAAATCAAATTTTAAATTTGCGACGTTTTTAAAATTCAATTTCTAAGGAACTATTCGACCGATTTTGCTCAAATTTTGTATTTTGATATGTAAAGTACTTTAAGATTACATCTAAAATTGTATACCCCACAATTCAATTTTTTTACTATTATTAATAAAATAATAGAAAATAATGAATAGTTACTAAAATTTATTTTTCGCATGGAATTAATTTTGGATAAATACATTTTATAATTTTGTGCATTTAAAAAGTTTTCAAGATATGAAAATTAGTAAAAAGTAAAATTAATATTATGTAGTCCAAACTTTGGACCACTCTCCCGACTAAATTATAGGGACCACTATCACCAAATTCCGACTACCTGATTGCGACTACTTTATATTTCAAAGGTCAGAAATTCACATCCATCGAAAAAAAAGGTGTGTTTACTTAGGGTAAAATGAAAGAGTATCCAAGAGTATACAGGTAAAAGAGTATAAAAGAGTATCCAGTAGAGAAAATACGTTTTTGTATCTGATATCGTAACTTAAAATATCGTCTGCACTAATTAATTAGCTCATTTTGAGGTCCCCCCCCTCAAGACTTTAAGAATGAGTCCCAGAACGTAAAGATATGATCATTGGACCAAAAGTTATTCAGGGTGGTCCGTTTTTTATTTTTCGCATTGAACAAAGGAATTCAGATTACCAAATCCTTTTACTAAGTTATTTTTTTGATTAAAAAAATGAAATGTAATTTTTTTCTAGTTTCTGGGTTCAGAAATACAATTACAGAAAGACCTCTCATCTGACATACAGGACCTCAAACTCCAGAGAGCTTTTGATGAACTAAAAGAGTTATATGACGACAAATCAAGTCGCATTGATCACACTGTACAGTTTCATCAGGTAATCAATCTTTTACTACACTGTAAAAAATTCCGGATCAAATTACGGTAAAAAGTACTGGCACTCAGGTTGTCTGTACTTTTTACCGTAAAATCCACTTTTATCTGAACATGTTACAAAAGTAAAAAATCTGATATACCGTAATTTTTACAGTAATTACCGTAAAATTACTGAATCACTCTCATTAAATAAATATTACTGTAAAAATTGCGCTGTAATATTTTACGGTAAAAATGGACTTCGCTTATGATGAACCCAAAGTGCCGATATTTATACCGGAATTTGATCACGAATTTTTTAAAGTGTACAACGAAATAATGAAATGATTTATGTTTATAAACGACATTTATTGTTAAACTTCCTTATCTGTAATTATTTCTTAATTATCAGGATTTTATATATACAGTCAAACCTCGTTAATTCGACACTCTCGGGAACTCTGAAAAACTGACGAATTTAGCGGAGTGACGAATAAACCGGAGTTGCATTGTTTTTCAAAAAATTGGGAAAATACCCATAAATTAACAATTATTACATACAGCAACGAAATTTCAATTTCTTAAAATAAAAAAAAGCGTTAAAGAATTTACATTAAAACAATTCAATTAAAACATAGCATCAATAGAATGACAAACAGTATGGTTTACATATTTACTTTAATTTATTTAGGAATGAAAAAGCCATCAATACAGGTTTGTTTGGTATGGGGATTACTTAGCATAATTCTCTTTTCGAGTTTGTACACAGAGTTCAAATCTTCCTCTGTGCCAGATATTGAAGAAAAATATTTTCTCAGAACTTCAGTGCAGTGCAGAGCTTCATTTTTGGAAGGAGGAACTTCCACTTTATCCTCGCTTTTACTGTCTTCAGATGCTGGAACATGTCTTTCGCGGATTTCACGGATTATAAGTAATAAGGAAGCTCCTCTAGCGGCGTATGACAACATTTCCGGGCATGGGTATCTAAGCAGCTTTAATCCTGATGATATGATATAACTCTTCTGAAAGTTTATTGCAGCATTTATGGGAACCCCTGTCATATATAACGTTTTTATGCTTGCAAATGTCAACAAAAAAGAGACTAAAAATGTCATTTAAGGAAAAACTATTGCCTGGAGAGAGAAAAAGATTGCAGATTTGAAATTACCGAGGCAAAAATGTCAAATATCAGTTTAAAAAATCTCATGTAATAAAAAAAAAATTTGTTTCTCAGTGTTATTGATTTCGTATTTTTCAGTAAATATATTTATCAATGTAAGGAAATTAATAATTACAAATTAAATGTATGAGTTTTTTATAAGAAAACCTATCTATTTACCCATATACCACGAATAGAAATTTTTTATTATAGTTTAATTCCTAGCCTAGAAAATCCAACTACGTATTTCGAAATTGAAAGATTTTTATACTTGGAGATGATTAAAATTACTCCCTTCTTTTAATTAAACGCTGATGATTTTAGCATTTTTAACAAATTGAGAATATTTTCTTCAACAGTATTCAGTGGACGCCGATGAAGCTGAATCTTGGATTTCAGAACAGCTTCACATACTTCTTAGCCTAGACTATGGAACTGATGAACTCACGTGTGAGGTAATCTTTAAATGTATCTATTATGATTATATACTGTTTATAAATATTGAGTATAAAATGCTCATATATTGAAGATAAGTTGAAACAAAGTAATAAAATATTAGGCCTGTTGTACCGTAACCGTAGTAAGGAGTAATTACTTTTAATGTATCACTTTTGTACCATCCGTTCCCAAAAGGTTAAAATAGCATTTTGCAAATGAGTTTTAAATTGAAAACTGCACTGTCACATAAAAAATAACGGTCTTTGTTAATGTAAAAACATAATTTTTGATCTTAAGCACCTCAAAAATCAAGTCGAAGTAAAGAACATTTTCTTATATAACATTTACTTTTGTTAAAAAGTATTAAACGCTCGAACGAAACTATACTGTAAAAAATCTCGAATAAAGTTACGGTAAAAAGTACCGGTACTAAGTATGCCAGTATTTCATATCGTTAAACTTTACGGAACAAAAAATGTGATCCTAATTTTTACAGTAATATTTAAAGTCACTGAATCATTGCAATTAAATAAATATTACTGTAAAAATTACGGTGTAGAATTTTATTGTAAAAATGAATTTTATGGCAACAGGAATCCTACTGATCATCTACTATCAGGGAGCCAATACAGTTTACTCTAACTTCATCAGAAAGTTTTTACAGTGTAGTATAGCAAGTATATGCTGCAATAGGATATTTATAGTTGTTATAGATGCTATAAAAAGTAATTGAATTTCCAATTTTTTTTATCTTTCAATAAAATAGCGTTTGGAAACTAATTCTTTACTCTTTATTCTTCTTCATGTATACTTCCTTTAATAGAATACGAGATAGTACTTAGTTAAAAACGAGTTATGAGTATTTAAATAAACTCTAGACATTTGTTTTTTTTCCTATTTACTTTAAACATTAGTGTTATTTTTAAGTAGAAAAAATGAAGATGGAAGTAAAATAGTATTCGAAGATAACTTATGTAGAATTATATTTAACGGGAAACAGGAGCTACAATTTCGGTTACTTATTTATCAAATATATATGCATTTTAGAAATATTTTAAAACGTCAAGATTTTGAATTCTATTCTATGTATTCTATTCTATGTATTCTGTTCTATGTATTCTATTCTATGTATTCTATTTATTCCATTCTATGTATTCCATGTATTCTATTCTATGTATTCTATTCTAAGTATTCTATTCTATGTATTCTATTCTATGTATCCTATTCTATGTATTCTATTCTATGTATTCTATTCTACGTATTCTATTCTATGTATTCTATGAATTGTATTCTATGTTAAACTCAAGTTTGATTGTATTAAAACTATTTTTAGGCTTTATCACGAAGGCACGTGTACATGCAGCAAGAAATTGCTGCATATTCATCTGAAATTGGAATACTGTCAGAAGAAGCTAGGAAAATATCTGAGTCCCATTCACCTCAAGTAAAGTTTTCTTTTGCATTGAATTTATGAGTCATGTAGGTGTAAACTTTGATAACTGTACGTTGAGTCAAATTAATTTAAATCTAACGAGAGTCCCAAAATTACAGAAAAAGAAATAAAACTCAGGAAAAAAAGACTCTCAGTTTTGAAGATTCGGATATCCTTTAGCTATATTTCGCTAATTTTGGGTAATATTTTTTCGCGAAATCACGTGATTTGTTACGAAATGGAAACTCTCGAATATATGATGAAAATGTTTCCTCCACTCGGCACCTCATCGTGGTGTATTCTGGGAAATTGTTAACTAGAATGACGAAACTAGGATGAAGACTAGACGATTGAAAATAAAGTGACGAAATAAGCTGACCGGCTTGTATGTGGTCAAGTAGTTGGCCTATTCCCAGGAAGATCCAGGTTTCGAATCCCATTTCGGTCATGGGGACACTTTATCTCTTTGTTCCATATGTCTTTCTTTTGTTACTAAAGTGGCATTAATCCAGCTATATGGTGCCCACGATTAAGTGATTATCGGAAAAATTAGATATATTAGGCTTGACGATTTTTTTTTTTTTTTTTTGAATAAAATAGAACGACGAAATATTTCTATACTATTGACGAAATTCATTTCATCGAAAAAGTGGAGACGATGGTTATTTCGTCACTCTGACGAAATTTTCGCTCGGAGCATGTGCCAGGAAACGGTTTCGTCGAAAACGAAGACAGTTTCATGAAATTTGAGCAGTCATTTTTACAGTGTGGTCGGAGGATAAAAGGAAAGAAAGAAAGAAATAGATAAATAAAAAAAGTATTAGGAAATATAAATTCATGATTTGCTGTCTTCTGATTATCAAAATGGGTAATATATTCTTGTAGAATTTAAAAATTAGTCACTAAGTCGTCAAAAGATTGCACTTTTAACTAAGAAAATAATAAAACAATGCCTTTTACAGCATGTAAGAACAATCTAACAGAAATAGTTGAATATGCGTTTTTTAATTTAGTCCTGAGATTGCGCGACTGCACTTCACGGCTCCTCCAAATGGTAGCTATTTTGAAAATATTTTTTTATTGTTTTTCTCAGATAGTACTGACATCTGTGGGTGAATTTCGAAACTAATTTTGAAACTTGAAGAAAATAAATAAACTGGTTTCCTGAACAATACACAACAAACCATATATTTCTACCTTTTTCGACTTTTCATTAATTACTTTTTGGGATATCCAGTAACATTATGTCAAGTTTTTCTTAAGACAGTAAACATAAGCAATTACATTAATACTTCCATTTTTTTTGAAAAAAAAATTCCTATCATCTTGCTTCGTAAGGTGTGTTTTCATATTTGCCCATTTCCCTACGTCTTCTCAAAACGGAAGTAATCAAGTTTTTAATCTGGACCACTAAGTAACAGTAATTCGTTTTCAAAATTTTTTAAAACATATTTTTTTGCAAAATACACTTACCTTTTATTTTTATTTATTTTAGAGAATCCAAAAGTTTTCAAGCGCAAATTTGTTGTCAAGAGGAAAACAACCCTCTATGAGTCCAGGTGAGACATTTTCCACAGAAATGCATATTTAATTGGTTAAATAAATAATAAAAAGTATATTTATAAGTTTTAAATCAAGCAATTGAAATATAATAAAATGTAACAAAAAAAGCTTTGTCTACTAAAAAAAATCAGTCATGGCAAATAAAAACCCTAATTTTGACCATCGTTGAATTAAACAGTCACTTGAAACACAGCTTTTTGAGGATAATCATTTAGTCAATCATTTAAGTAATAATCAATAAGTTTAATTATTCATCAGGTTAAATCGATCAATTAAGTAACATTTCCGATAGCGAAATTTGCAAGGATTTTTTTTTTTAACTATGCCTATAAGTATAGTTTCACAGTTTATGATGTTCAATGGTAAAAGATGTTCATCTATTTTTTTTTGGCTTCTGTTTTGGATTTAAAAGAGGAAAATAATGATTAATCTACTACGACGATCGACAAAAAATTTTAAATGATGAAACAATTTATTTCGGTATCATATTAATACGATCTTGATGTAAAGGTTGGTGGTTCTAAAACCCAATTTTCAATACAAAATGCTTAAATCATATAAAGTGAAAAAATTTTGAAGAACAAAAATCATGCATGTTTTTCTATATTTTATATAATTATATTTATTTTTGTGTTTAATAATATTTTATATTTTTTTCCACTTTGAATAATATTTTTTTTAAATTAAACTTCTTATGTTTTTAATTTTCTGTTTCTAATGATGGTACACTGTTTGGACACGTACTGATGGTACACAATTGGAATTTTGAAAAATGACATAGTTAAAATCCGTTGCAACTTTAATAAGGTGCTGAGTTAACCGTTTTTATTCATGTTAAAAAAATTGTCTATTTAAGTGTAATGGCTTGACTCGTCAATCTTAAACCTGTCGATACTTTTCTAAAAGTGCAGCAAATTTAAAATACTTTTTTAAAAAGTAGCTAATTTTGAAAAAATCATCTGCAAATTGTCAAACCTTCACAGATAAAAACATTAATTGTTTCAGGACATTTCCACATTCTTTATATATATTTCGATACATTTGATACTAAAGATATTGATTTCACTTATTTTAATATAATTTTAAACTATTTTAGTTTAAATTACAAATTACATCATTTGAATGAAATTGCTTTTACTCGAAAAAAAAATCATGTGAAATTACCGTACTGAATGGTAATAACATTTCTGGTAGGTGAAAAAAATACTGATATTATAAGCCAAAATTTACGGTGTTTAAACCATTCATGTGGAAAATTTTCCTTAAAATGTAATCGTTTATCGTAGGCTCTGCCTTTTCAAATGATTGTTCTTATTACCAGACATTTAGTAAAAAATACAAAACTGAAAAATAAATTTAACCGAACAATTGGTTTTTATGCCATAATCTAAGGTATCGTGATAAAATTACCTAACTTTACCACATTTACCAAATTTTATCACATTATAAAATCATATTTAATAGTTAATTTTACCGAAATCATTAACAAAGTGATTCAGTCAAAATTAGCGAAATTGTTTATATTCCCATGGAGCCAAAAACATGGTAAATATTTAATTAAATTCTGGTCGTTTTGACTATGCTTTTTTTCTGAATTTAAATAATAAAATTTCAAAAATTCTATGTTCTTAAAGCACTGAAGAGAAAATCTTTATTAGAAATGTAAAGATAGCTCGATTTTGTAAAGATGAGTAATCAACCCTTTGTACACCTATGCCCCTTTTTATATACAGATACACCCTTTTATATATAGATTTTCTTCTGACATTCTAATTAAAAACAAAAATATATTTTAATATTTTTTAATTGTAGAAATACAATCTAATAATTACTGAAAATCTGTTAAATTATCGGAATTTTATTTGTGCAGAAATATAAAATCGAAAAAAGATTGTTTGAATTTTTTTTCATTTATGTTCAAAAATTTATGAACAATTAATTTTGCAAATCATGAAAAATTCAATGAAGAATATGTACAAATTAAATATATATATATATATTATATATATATGAGAATAGCTAGAAAAATACATAATATATTTTTGATACACCAATTTTAGCAAAAATGGAGTGTTCTTTAATTTTTTAATAAAAAGCGCTCAAACATTCAAATTTTTTCATAAAAGAAATCAATGAAAAAATTTTATATTGTAACACTATGCAATTAAATGAAACAATGTTTCTGTTTTTAAAAAAATGTAATTTTAAATATACGTAACAAAATGAAGTCAATTGGTGAAAATTTGCTCATGTTCTAAGTTTAGCCGACCTGGAAAAAAATACACGCCTGCGTTAAAATGTATGAGAACTGCGCAAAAATTCCAAATTCGAGTATTGAGACATTTTTCTTGATCATAAATCTTTAGGTATATCATTTTAAAGCACCTTTTATGCAACAAAAAAAAATTTTTCCTAAGTTCCAGAGTGAACTTGCCTTTAGAATCATTAATTTTAATGTCTTTAATTGTTTATATGAGGTAGTACGCATTAAGTTTTATAAAATATCTGCTTTGAATTCTCTGTCCTTACTTCAAATAGCTGTGAAGAACTTTTCACCTCATGAGTTACTTCAATAGTTTGAAAGTAATAAAATGCTCGCAAATAAAAAACTGTATTGAAATTAAAAGAAGTCATAAAGAAGGAGCTTTCTAGAATATATTTTATATTTAAATATTTAGCTCATCTTTTTTTAACATCAGTATTTAACTTAATCTTATTTTAATATTTTGTTAAGTGGTTTAATGAACAAATTATTTTATTGCTGCAATCAAATTAAAATTGAATTTTAACTTTCAGGTATGTCTCTAATATATGGTTTTTTTNTGCATCCTAAAAAGATAAATATATATATATATATATTGTTTGGAAGTGATCCGTTTTTGGAAAGATTTTTGGAAAGATGTTTTCTTCATCCGACTATTTTTTTTCTCTTTTCTGTAGAATATTCAGGGATAGATTCAGTAAGTGACCAGGTTACTAATCGTCAAACACGCATTGAAAAGGCATTTTCTGAGCTACAACAACAATGTGAAGTAAGTACATATCTGTGTACGAATGTTTTTAATCTCAACCGAAAATTCTTTTGTATCCAAGGTGCAATAATAATTTTTAAAAATACAAGTTAAAATATGAAACTTTTATTTCAAATAAATTGTATTGTTATTGTATTGTTGATATTTTTGTAATGTTTGTCAGTAGAAAGAACTCCTCTCGCCATAAAGTCTAAGGTCATCCTTAAAGTACTTAAACCTCGTAAATATAGTCACCACCACAGCTCCAGATGAATGGGTAGGGGTGTTCTTTTCATTGGTAGACTATAGTTGTAGTTGTTTATTAACATCATACAAGAGCTGCACAATGGGCTGTTTTGAAACCATCCTTGAACAGCCGACCCAATATTTTGGGTTTACGACTGCTAATGTTCAACTGCGTAGCCTTTAATTTTGAACACAATCCAGAAGACAAGGGAACTTCGGAATCAAGTAGTGGGAGAAATTTTCTTTCGTGGAGGACATTTTAAAGCAACTAACCCGCAATTGCGTTACATGGAGAGGAAAACCGCGAAAATCTCCCAAAGTTAGCCTAACGGTAAAGGAACTCTTACCCATCCTCCATCTCACACTGAGAATGCTTTTACGTCAGCACTCCGCTCAGTGCGACCCGGGTGTGGATCTCGTATCAGCCTGCTATCACTGAGATTCGAATCCAGTTCAGCTCACTTCACATCCGCTGAGCCACTACGGCTCACAATGGGCTATTTTAATTAATTTTATAACCGTTGTTGAACAGCCGACCCATTTTTTGGGCTTACGACTACCCGTCTACCACTGAGGATATTTCACGTCAGCGCTGTGGTCGGTGCAAGCCGAAAGCAGAATTCGTATCGACTAGCCATAGCCGGGATCGAACCCCGGTTCACCTCATTGGAAGGCAAACGCTCTACCCCCTGAGCCATCGCGGCACACAATGGGATATTGGGGAGGGTCTGAATAACATCCTTGACAATGATCCGACGTCATGCCATCACAATTTTGATCCTCTGGGGAGAGGATGACTACCCGCTTTGAGACCCCAACAACATGAGAGCGAAGCGGAGCACTTTACGGTAGAACAGTTTAACGAAGACCGATACCGCACACTCTCGATCCTTTCGTAGGTTGGCCAAAGCTGTCACCCACCCGCCCACTGACTGCAACCAATGAGGCTTGATTCCGGTGTTCTTCTGGGAACCGTGACTTCAGATCAGTACACTAAAGGACGTTATTTTTAGCATTGTAGAATGTTATTGAAAAATATTTTAAAAATACTAAAGCTGCAATTTATGAGCTACCGTGTCGATCAGAAAAATATTGTTAAGATATTTTATACTTTTCAGAATAATCGGTATCGCTTTTTCGATTTCATTCAACTCTTTTTTTTCTATCAATTATCAAATTATAAAAAAAAATGATAAACAACTGGTCATGACAAATAAAAATGCTTCTTTTTCTTAATATGATATAGTTTTTAATTAAAAAAAATTAAAAAACACCTTAAGTTCAGGTGAGAAAATATGATTGTTTATGTCTGTTTTCATTGAAGGAAATTAACATGCTATATATTTATCTTTATATTATTGCTATATATTATTTATATATACTAATGTAGGAAAGACAAAAAAGATTGCAACACAATAACATGTATTTCCGAGTTCGAGATGGTTGCCAAGAAATGGAATCTTGGATGAGGCAAAAGGTATTCATAATTTCTTCAAAATTCTCTTTTTCTGAGTTGTTTTGCTGTTGTCTCTGATGCCACTCGCCTATATCGGCAAGCCTGCGTGAGGTGATTTTTTGAGGTGACTGTTTCAAGTGAATTTTTGAGACAGAGGGTTCATTTCTTGATTTCATTCTGATTTGCCAATTTACCTATACACAGAAATATTAATTTTTTATTAAAACTTTCAGTTAAGCTTGCTTTGCAGAAACTTGAAAAGAAAAAGCCCTTTAATTTCTTCATATTTTTTTGCCAAAATGAATGTTTAAATTAAACACTATTCAGTTTCTATGCCAGCAAGATTATTATGGAAACAAGACGAAATTATAAGCTTTTAGTAGTATTACGAACTATCAAACATACAAATCTCAGAAGTCGAAAAAACAAACTAGATTTTCATTTTTTACTAAGTGTTTTACATTTTTTTTTAATTGTTGTTGTTGTAGTTCATTTACGTCGCACTAGAGCTGACAATTGGCTACTGGCGACTGTCTGGGAAACATTCCTGAGGATGATCCGAAGGCATGCCATCACAATTTTGATCCTCTGCAGAGGGGATTGCCCCCCCCGCTTCTGTAACCCGACGACCAGCACGCGAAGTCGAGCACTTTACGGTAGAGCAGTTTAACAAGGACCAATACCGCACACCCTCGGTCCCAATGCAGACTGATCCAGGTGGTCACCCACCCGCACACTGACCGCAGCAAGTGATGCTTGACTTCGGTGATCTGCTGGGAACCGTGTCTTAACGATCACATTTTTTTCAAACAAATACCCCCAGAAATTTTTTTTAAAGTTGGTTACCGGAAATGTTTTTGAGAAATCAAGCAAGAGAAAATAATAGGTAAAATTAGGAAGTTAGGTGAGGGATGAACAGCATAACTAAATATCTTTTCGTCTTGTTTTTTTCGGATGTTGCATTTATAGATTTTTAATGATTCAAGGAACATTGTAAGATAATTAAAAAATGCCTAATAAGTTTTTGGAAACTCACAAAAATCTAATTTCCTTTAAAAATATTTTAGCTCTTGTGTAGGGTATTGTAAAAAATTAATCTAACCCCCTCTTAACGTAAATGAAAGGAACTTTTCATTTTGTCATTCAATTTGTAAACTAAAAGTACATATATTTAATAGACTAATGTTAAACATTCACTTTTTATCGAAAAACGTTAGTGTCATGGTGCCTCAGTTTGAAGCTTACACAATTAACTTTAATGTTGTTGTTGTTGTCGTCGTCTGCCATTAAGACAGAGGTGGTGCGATTGCTATTGTTTTCCAATGGCGCCATTTATGACCATGAATTCGCAACACCCATACCTCACGCCCGTTTATAGGGCGGATCTATTCATTCATCCATAAATCGTAATTTGGACCTGAACCAGAGAATGAGTAATCTCCAATTCAGTAGCCCCAGAGGTATTGATTTGTTATGGGAAGAAGGAGGACTTCGTGACTCGACAGATTTAATGTGCACCAATCACTATTTACTACACGGGGAGTCTTCGACCGGTTGGATTCGATCTCCCGTTCTCACAAAAGTGAGTCCAGCTCCCTGCCAAAAGAGCTATCCCAGCCAAATAACTTTAATAACAATTACAAATTAACAATGTCAAAAATATATTCACATATTAAATGAAGAACTGTTTTGATATCATTTCATACTGGTATCATAGTATCTGAGGTTGAAGATGGTTCAAATTACATAAAATATCCCTATTAATATCGAACTTAATTTTTTTTTAAATACTAAACGTTTGAACACTGAGAAAAAAAAGTATAGTTAAATCTACCAGAATATGGTAAAGTTTGCCGTGTTCCTAACTTAATGGGAACACCATAAAGCACGGCAGTTTTACCAAAGCACTGTGGTAATGATTTCGGTAAAATTAACAACAAAATATTATTTATAATAATATGTGTTAAAAATTAGTAAACGCGATAAAATTTGGTAATTTTATCACGATACCTTAGAGCAGGCATATAAGCCACTTATTCGGATAAATTTAATTTTTTGACTTGTACTTTTATTAAATGTTAGGTAATAAGAATTATTACTTTGAAAACCAAAATTTCTAGTAAATCCGTTAGGAAAGGAAAAATTACAAAATGAATATTGTATATTTTGTTTTATTAAAATAATTATACCAGAAATATGGCTACCATACAGTTCGGTAATTTTTCCAGATTTTTTTTCTACGTGCAATGTTTATAATTATTTATAATGACTGTTCATATTATTTATGATTTACATATATTATGTTATTTACATTATTTGTATTATAATACCGCAGTTTCAAGATCATTCAAATGACTTAATTTTTTAATTTTGACATTTGATTTTAAATTTTAAAATGTACTGATATTTTTTTGGCAATTTAATAGTTAGAAAATTGAGATTATTAAGTACTTACATGTTGCTTTCTAAAGCATACGCTACTTATTAAACATTTATTGATATTATATACATATTTCAGGAACATGATATGAATGCAAGTAATTTTGAAGAAGAAGCTGATAAAATGGAAAAAAGCTTTGAAGTAATTTACTTTCATTTCATATTTTGTGTTGTATGTGAAACATACTTAAGGCTTTGTGATCATGGTCCGTTTTTACAACATGTGCCATAAGCTTATCATTTTTATTCGAAATGGTATGAATCACTACTGAGGATAACTAAAATTTTCAAAATTAGTTTGATTGCCTGATTTAATTAGGAGGCATTTATACTACTCACTTTTAACCTATCAGTGTTTGCTCCGGCAAAAAAATAGGTTTCGATGTTTTTTAAGGAAATTGGCTTCTTCATAATCAATTCATTGAATTTTGATAGCATTCGTATGTTTTGTCACGTTCCATACTAATTTGTGGACCTTAATATGACTAATTTATTAGTTTCATATTTGACAAGGATTTTGAAAATATATATTGAGAGTGGTAATTAAGCACTGAGAAAAAAATTATTGACAAGACTACCAGAATATGGTAATATTTACCGTGTTTCTGGATCTATAGAAATAGCAAAAAGCTCGATACTTTTTACCGAAACGCTTAGGTAAAGAATTTGGTAAAATTATTAATAAAATCTATTTTTTTTACATGTGTGATAATTTTTGAAAATTTTATTATGATACCTTAGAGCATGTCATAAAAACCATTTATTCGGTTAAATTTACTTTTCAGCTTTGTATTTCTTATTAAGTGAGTGGTAAAAAGAGTTAGATTTTTATAAACCACAATTTATGGTAAACCATTACCATATGAACAGAAAAATTAACAAATTAATAGTTTAAATACTGCATATTTTTATTCTATTAACCAGGATTATGGATTTTTCGAACAAAAATGTCATTACCATACAGTACTATAATTTTACTTGAATTTCTTTCTCCGTGCGGAATTGCCCTATATAAACACAAATATGACATAAGATCTATAAAAACAAGTATAAGATAAATCATATTTGGATAATAAATATAGCATAAGATCTAAAAACATAAATATAACATAAGATCTATAAAGACAAATATAGCATGAGATTTATAAAGACAAATATAACATAAGATATGAAAAAAATAAATATAACATAAGATCTATAAAAACAAATAAAAAGAACGCATATGTGCTTTTTCGGTATTCTTCTATTTTTAGATCAAATAACTTATTATAAATATATATTAAGTTATAGTAATATAATATAATTGCAATATAATTGCATAACAAGCATTAATTTTAGACAGTTTGGAAGATTAAAAAATTTCTTTGTACAAATATAACATAAGATCTAAAAAAATAAATATAACATAAGATCTATAAAGACAAATATAGCATGAGATCTATAAAGACAAATATAACATAAGGTTTGAAAAAAATAAACATATCATAAGATCTATAAAAACAAATATAAAGAACGCATAAGTGCTTTTTCGGTATTCTTCTATTTTTAGATCAAATAACTTATTATAACTATATATTAAGTTATAGTAATATAATATAATAGCATAACGAGCATTAATTTTAGACAGTTTGGAAGATTAAAAATATTTTTTGTACAGGCTTTTCTCAGAGATCTAGCATATCATGGTTTAGTTATTGATGAGTTAAAGAACCTGACAGAACAATTAGAAGAAGAAAATGCAGAACAAGCACCAACAGCAAAAATTTTGTTTGACGATGCTTATCGCAGGTAAATATGTTTGAACGTAAACTAAAATTATTTTTTAAATCTCATCTTTTAAATCGAGAGAATTAAAATTTAGGTATTTTAAATCCAAATTAAAATTTTAGGTGGAAGCATCTACATGACTTGACTAGTTTTAAGGAGAGGAATCTAAAAGGGTTTACGAGGTAAGAGTTAGTTGATAAATGGAAACTAATAATTGTGAGTTTTTAAATTTCATTTCAGTATAAATTCTTTTGTTAACTTAAAAAAAGGCATATACAAGTTGAAAAACACTATATATATAAGCTCACCGGACAAAAAATTAGTCACCCTAGTTCGCAAGCACCGATGTATCTTTCGATTTCGTTTGATGATACAGTAGTCAAGTGACGTGCTGAATTCCGTGCACACTGCTTCAGCGTGTTCAAAGGCAAGTAGCTACCAGTGAGATATTTTTGTTTGAAGCGGAAATTGTGTGTAAATGTGGATAAGTGTAAGGATGTGATCGCGTGGCAAAAAGGGGCAATTGTGTTTGGCCTTGCCAATGGTCATACGGTGAATGAAGTTGCTGGATTTGTTGGCGTTTCGATGCTGACTGTTCACCTTGTCTACAAGCAGTGGTGTAATACACGTGGTCACGAAGGACGACGTCAGAATTGTGGCCGGAAAAAGATCCTGCTTGAAAGGGGCCGGAAGCGTGCTTCCCGACTTGTCAATCAAAATCACTTCCAAACCTGACAGAAATTGCTTCAGTTAGTAAGTAAAGGTTCATCCCAACCTGTTAGGGAGAGAACATTGCGACTAGATTTGCATACAATGAACATTTGGAGTCGAACATCTCGTAAGAGGCCATTGCTCACACAAGCACATAAAGCTGCTCGACTTCAGTGGGCTAGAAGTCACCGAACGTGGACGGCTGCTGACTGGTGGAATGTAATATAGTCTGATGAATCACCTTTTGCCTTTATTCAAAAGGCGCATGTCGTCGAGGGCAACGAAGAGCAGATAAAGCATTTCATCCTGACTGTGTTCTAGGCCAGGTTCAAAGCGAAGATAGGTCTGTCATGTTTTGGGAGCGTTTTTCTTATCATGAATTGGGCCCCCTCACTGAGGTGGCCATTAACATGAATCAACATGTTTATTTTAACATTCTGGTTGATTAGATATTGCCTTTCAGTCAACATCTTCATGAAGAGTGTGTTGTCGATACCCCTATTTTTCAAGATGACAACAGCAAAGTTCAGCGGAGTGGAAGATTATATGACTGGTTTTATGAACACTCAGACACTCAATTACATCTCGACTGGTCTGCAAAATCACCTGACTTCAACTCCATTGAAAATTTGTGGGACATGCTGGAATAACGTGTAAGACGCCGAAATCAGCATCCTCGCAATTTGGTGGATTTGCGCTATCAAATCCTCAACGAGTGGCTTAAACTGAATTCGACGTACCTCCAAAACCTTGTGGACTCACTTCCTAACCGATTCCAGGTTGTTATCGAATCCAAAGGTGGTATTACTTGCCATTAAATGATGTTTTTCATGATTTTTCCAAGGGTGACTAATTTTCTGTCCGGTGTGCTTATATATATATATATATATATATATATATATATATATA